TCATTCAAAGAATACATATCTTAAAAAATGAAAATTTCACCTTACATTGTGATAGTCATTTTTTTAAATTATGGGCACATAATCATGTCTTTATCATTTGCCTTCTCTTTTTCCCTACTCATCTTTTATTTGTATTTTTACTTTGTTGAAATATTTCTCTCTCTGCTTTTCTCCCCAGCAGCCTAATTCTGGCTTCTTGCTTTGTGCAGTGTGTCTGGACTGCTGAGGTGCTGGGGTAAGGGGAGGTGGTAGAGACGCTGTCAGGGCCAGGACTGAGGAAGATGCTGCTGGCTTCTCTTTATCAACATGAGCGTTTGATGAAGCATGTATCCATTTTATACTCTATGACAACTGTCCCCATATGTTCATTTATTTATATCAGTCACTAAATGCTATTTTAGTGGATGACTTTCACCAGAGGCAAGAAACCAGATTTCAGTAGACCCTGGGGCTGACAAAGCCCAGGCCACGGAGAGACTGCCTCCCAAAGAAAGACTTCCTCCCGTTGGAACTCTCAGAGCAGAAAAGTAGTGATGGGTAGAGATGTAAGTGCCCAAAAGCCACAAGCAGTAATCCATCCGCTAATCATAATTCCAAAGGGTAAGACAAATGTTCCTGCGGAGTACCATTAAAGTGTGAGTTTATCTCTGCCGTGCTGTTTTTCTCTAGTCCTTATCTCTTGAGTTGATCCCTTTATCTCTTACCACCCCTGATCTTCTCTTTAAGCTTTCTCCTTCCTGCCTATTGTCCCCTCCTTATCACTTCTGTCTTAGATTAACCTACAGATACAAAGTGGAGTTAGTAATTGGATTATTTTTCATGGGGAAATCACTAACCTTTCCATTTCATTATTCTGAGAGCAGAAGTTTGTTTAGCTACAGAAATACATAACAGAACATGAGACAAATTTTTTTATAGACCAAAGAGTGTTTTTGAATTGCATCAAATATAAAATTAGAAGAACCTAAAAGGCTTTGATATATTTTCACATTAAAGCGTTATTTTGTATTTAGCAAGTGTCACTAGTTCTATAGATTTCTTTTCCCTACCTCCTGGTTTTCTGATGCCTGAAGCCCTTGCAGGAAGCTTTCAAGGTTGTTGCAAATGAAGTTATTCTTTCTTTAGTCAGGAAGGACCTACTACATCATAAACTCTTGCCTAGGATCCACAGGGTAAAACCCTGGACAGGGATGAGTAGTTTCGGTATCAGACATTTGTTTAACATCTTGTAGGAATTCCACATTACTTAAGTGAATAGACCCACTAATCAGCAGAGCAGGGCTAGTGGTTGAAACGGCCGCACCCTCTGCCTCTCTGATCTGGAAAACAAAGAAGTCCGTTTTAGGGTGTTAAATAATAAGAGACCTTAATAATTCTTTCTACTTAACTGGGCTTCTGTCGTTTAGAGTTCTGTTCACCAGAAGGATATATTCTTGTCCTGTCTTCCTACAATTCATGGGAGCAAAATACCAGACTGTTTAAAATAACTGAATGGGAATGTACTTACCAAAACTGCTAGGAGGCATAACCATGAAGCAAAGTCTTATTAGCATCTTCCCTAGCTTTTTCATTCTATTTATATCTGAGAAAGAGTAGAGACCACATGTGTTTTATTACACAGTCTCTGACAAAAATGAAGAAATGAGAGGATATAAAAAGGGTGGGTAACATTTAATGAGCACATACTAAATGCCAGGTGTGTTGAAAGTGTTTTGTGTGACTTGTGTAATTCCGTACTCAGTAATCTTGTTGGTACTATGTGTTGTCCCCTTTTCACAGATGAAGAAACTAACATAGTATCTGAGTGTTGGCCAGGATCACAAAACCAGAAAGTGACCGAAATTTGAACCCAAGAAAACTTGACTCTGGAGCCTGTTCTTTAACCACTATGCTCTCTCTGCCTCCTTGAGGTAATCCAGATGGTTTATATAGGTTAAATACCTTTTCAAGGTAATCAAGATGATCTATATGAGTTAAATACCCTTTTACCATGAAGACTGTCTGAAGTCCTTCCCACATAAGATCTCAATAAATTTAGTGAATATTTACTTCTTGAATATAGAGATGAAAAGGCTCCAAAAGTCTCCAGGAGAGTTTAATAGAAGAAAGGATCCATTTGTGGAAGCATCTCTTATAGTCTTCACCTGTTTACATCTTCAGAGGGTTCCTACCTGAGAGGTAGAAAGGGACTCCACTTCTGCTGGCCCTGAGTTACTATACTTGCCCATGCCACATTTCACCACCCACTCCCTTGCCCTAGTTTCCTGGGCTTTGGGGAAATTAGAAGTAGTCTCTTATGAATAGGCCAGGGGGTCTAAGGGGTTGTTAAGTTAGCAGTAAGTGCTCAACAAACTAAGTATTACGGACGTAAGTGTGTATGTTTATGTTGGGAAGGGTTATCAGAAGAATTTATTGCTTACATTGTTTTCCTCAAAGTGATGTAGGTGGACTTTGGCTAATCTATACATACTCTAACCTCCCAGGTAAATTGGTGTCTATACCAGGAAGGTAATCTCCCTGGTTTGCGGGGAGGCTGAACCTATGACCTCAGCAGAGTATCATGATGGAGGTAACCAGCCATACTCCAAGGCAGCATCTTCAGTCACTAGCTCTAGTTTGCAAGTCCTCTACATTTTAGAATTGCCTCAGGTATACGAATATTCACTTTGCCCCCTTGGTGTAGAGCTGGTTTTTTGCAGTTGTCAAACTGAACTAAAAGGATAGCAGCTCGATGAGTCTGGAGGAAAGCTAGCCCCACAGGAGCTCCTCTTTGATTATATTTTGCATTGGCCGTTAGCATGGCAGCTGGTTATCCAACTCTTTTCAAGCCACTTCAATTTGAAAGTGGCCTCAAGGAAAGGAAACTGCTAATGCTGATTTATACATAACTTTCAGAAGTGGATTGGATCAATCTCTTTATTTCAGAGCTTTCCAATGTGCCCTAATAGGTAAAGAACTCCATGTTCAAGGGGAGTTCAGAATATGCTAGGTTAAAAGAGCTGAACAGTTTGTTTTTTTTCCTGCAAGATTTTCAGAGCTTTTAACATGATGATGGGAATTGTAGATCTATAAGAAGCAATAGGGACCCATTATCTCCCAAATTTACTTCACTATGGAATCCATATTTATCAGACATGTTCTCGTACCAGTTTACACACGGCATCTTAGAAGTCCACAGGCAATGGATCCTGACTATAAAATGCAGCTCTACCACATACTATGGAAAAGAAACATCTGAACTAGGGAATAACAGAGAGGCTTTGAGTTTTGGGGGAAACTCAACAGAATTTCCACTTTAAATCATCTTTCTAGTCAGTATGGCCATAGTCATGATGAAATGAAAATGTTGACTTTGAGTAACAGAAGGTAAAATAAAAGACAAAGGGAAAAGTGAACAGTGGCAAGAATCATTCTTGGACTCATCTAATTGAGACTAGGTTGAAATAGAAAATGTCAAGTAATGTGTAGTGCATAACAGTAGACATCACTTTAAAATTCCAGCTTCCTGGATGTATGCTATGGAAAGAATGAAGTTGGTTGCTAATGTCTAACTAGGGAAGAAGCTGAGGAAGAGAAAGCCATATGAAGAAGTGGCATATGCAGCAAATTAAGAAGGTATTCATTCATTCAAACAGTGAAACAAGTAAATGTACTTCATTCTCTAGATAAAAAAGATTGAGCCCTGTTTTCATGTTTTCATCTGTTCACAGTCAAATGGGGGACTAGACTGTAAACAACAAACCGTAGTAAGATAAGCTTCAGGATAGAGGTATAGCATAGTGTTATGGGATCTCAGAAAATGATTCCACTAAAAAGGTGGGAAGTGAATCTTAGATTGGAAGCATGTGTCAGGGCTGGGGGTATCCTCAGTAAACTGTGTGATGCCCATTCACATGAGTGTGTGTGTGTGTGTGTGTGTGTGTGTGTACAATACAGAAGGAAGACTTTCTAAAGCAAGTGATTCAGTTTGGGAGGCTGTGAGTGAGCCACACTAAGTAAAAACGGGAGGCTTGATAGCTTGTCCTTCAACAGACAGGTCCAAAATGACTATATAAAGTAAATATCATAAATCACTGTTGTCAGGGCGCACACTCCACCTCGTCCCTCCCTTCCCCACAGCCGTCCTCATTTCCACACCCCCTCAACGGTTCAGGGAGAGCTCGTGGTCTAAGTAAACGAGAGGACTTCTGACTGTAATCCTAGCACGTCACTTTGTTGAAGGCAAACACGTGGTTCAGAGAGAACTTATAAATCTCTCCTCCCAGGCAAGATCGTGATGTTATCTGCTGGCAGCAGAAGGTTCGCTCCGAGGGGAGCTCCAGAAGCTCCTGACGAGAGAGAGAAAAGAAAGAGAGAGGGAGAGAGAGGAGAGAGAGAAGAGAGAAAGGCGGACAGGAGAGGTAGCGCGCGAGAGAGGCAGAGAAAGGAATACAGAGAAGAGCAGGAGCGCAAGTGACGAGGACACGGGGAAGGGGATGGAGAACGTAGTATAACGGTCTAGGGAGCCACGGGAGCAAAGTGAGGGGGTGCCCGGCGGCAGAAAGGCGAAGGAGAGGGTCTGTTGCAGGGTGCCAAGTGCCCACCTACTCGCCGCGAGAAATCCGAGTGGGAGAGAAACCAGGAAAGGGTGGGAAAGGGTGGGAGTCCAAGGGACCCCCTCGCAGCCCCCTCAGGAATAACACTCCCTAGGCAGCGCGTCCCCGGGGCTGAAGGCAACGGCGGCAGCCGGTCGTCTGTTGCCGGGTTGGCGTCTGGAGCGAGAGCAGAAGGAGGAGCAGGAGAAGGAGGGAGGTGGAGGCTGGACGCGTCTGCTAGCGGCGGCACGACGTGGAGTAGCCGGGCGGGTTGGCGCGCGCCGGCCGGGGTGTTGGCCACCGCGCGCAGCAGCTCCGGGAGCAGGATCGTCGCCGCCTCTGCCGCCGCCGCCGCGGCCCGCGCAGGACCCGACCGAGTCCCGAGCGCCGTGCGGAGCGCACCCGCCTCCCCGCGGCGCGCCGGGCTCGCCCCCAGAGCGCGCACACGCGCGCGCGCGCTCACACACCCGCTCACACACTCACACACTCACACACTCACACACGTGTGCGCTCTCCGCTCCGGAGCCGCGGCTGCTCCCGCTCTCAGCGCCGCAGTGGAAGGCAGGGCCGAACCGCTCCTTCTTTAAATACCTAAATTACCGCCCGGCCAGCCTCGGCGGCCCCCCGCACAGCGCTCCCGGCGCCCCTCCCGCCAGCTCGCCAGCTGCCAGCCCCGGGACCTTTTCATCTCTTCCCTTTTGGCCGGAGGAGCCGAGTTCAGATCCGCCACTCCGCACCCGAAACTGACACACTGAACTCCGTTTCCTCTTAAATTTATTCCTGCCTAATAGCCACTCGCCTCTTTTTTTCCCCCCATCTCGTCGCTCCAAGAAAACTTTTTCTTACTCCTCAAAGTTAGGGTTCCCCCTGCCCATCGTGTATTAATATTTCCACTTTTGGAAAGACTTGCATTTTCTTTTTAAAGGAATTCAAGCAAGATAGCTTTTTCTATTGGACGTTGACTCTCGATTGTTTGCAAAAGTTTCGCATTAAAAAAAAAAAAATCTACCTGATCTGTACTTGAGAGTTGTTGGTTTCTTTTTTTTTCTTAGTTTTTTTTTTTTCTTTTTTTTTTTTTTAACTTTTTCCACCTTTAAAAAAAATGCACTACTGTGTGCTGAGCGCTTTTCTGATCCTGCATCTGGTCACGGCCGCGCTCAGCCTGTCTACCTGCAGCACGCTCGATATGGACCAGTTCATGCGCAAGAGGATCGAGGCGATCCGCGGGCAGATCCTGAGCAAGCTGAAGCTCACCAGCCCCCCAGAAGACTATCCCGAGCCCGAGGAAGTCCCCCCGGAGGTGATTTCCATCTACAACAGCACCAGGGACTTGCTCCAGGAGAAGGCGAGCCGGAGGGCGGCCGCCTGCGAGCGCGAGAGGAGCGACGAGGAGTACTACGCCAAGGAGGTTTACAAAATAGACATGCCGCCCTTCTTCCCCTCGGAAAGTAAGTACTGTTTTTTCGCTCCCATTCCCTGAGGCTTAGCGCTGCCCGAGGCTCTCGGGGCCGCCACGACTCCAGGGACGGCCCTTCCCGCTCCGGGTCCCGGTCTGCGCTCCCCCTCTCCGGTCCTCCGTCCCACCCACCTCCTTGCTGGTTGTGTGCCTGAGAACGTTAGGCTTGCAGTCCGCGACTTTCGACTTGATTTTCTCCATGTCTCCCTTCCCCCAAGGCCTCGGTCCCGTACGAGGCGTTATGCTCTCCTTCTGGCCCCTGAAAATATCTTCCCGGCCACCAGCCAGGACTCAGCCCCCCTCCTCTGTCAAAGGAGAGGCGCTCCCCAGGGCCGAGTTAGCCCGGGACGTCTCGGTGGGCTTGTTTTCTTTGGTGCGGGCAGAGTGGAGCCTGCTGAACTGGCGCACGAAGCGTTAAAAAAAAAAGTGGCTCCAAACCTAGCCTCTCCGGAAGGCGCCCCTTTCGGGGCCGACCTATCAGCGGGTTCTCCAAGCCTTCCCTATTGTCTCTAACGCCCCTGAAAATGTCAGCATCGCCAAGGCAAAACCCGATTTGGAGACCCCTCGAAAAATACTTCCGAACCCTCAATTCTTGCATCTCTTGCCACAGCTGGGTGCTTACACCCCGCAAAGGCGAGATCTTGTCACCACGTCCCCCTTTGATGTCACCTGGAGTGGCAGGAAGGACAACTTCGTTTCTGACGATGTTAAAAAAGTGTTTTACTTCGCGTTATTTTTCAGTATTCCCTCAGACCTGTCTTCTTAAGATCGCTGGTGGAGCAGATCATTTTCCTTACGGGTTTACCGTTTATCTTTCTCACTCTTGAGCCGCCCTCGGCTCCCTGGGCTCTCTTAGGCTTCCTTGCAGTTACTTCGGTGCATTCCTAAATCTCACAGAGGGTAGAAGACAGCCGATTTTTCTTTCTTTCTTTTTTTTTTTTTTTTTTTCAACTGGCTTCTCCGAGGGCAGCGTCCTCAAAACCAGTTGGCATACAGTAGCAGCGGGAGTGACGTGATTTATCGCAGTTCCTCTGGGGGGAAGGGAAGAGGGCAGTTAGCTGAGAATGATTTCCAAGTTCTTAGGGAAAAAAAAAAAGAAAGAAAAGAAAAGGAGAAGCAGCATCCAGTGATACCTGAGAGGGTTAAATACCAGGAAGAAGAAGAAGAAGGAAAAAAAAAAAAGCTTCAACATTTGCGTATTCCAAATCCCAAGTCATAAACTTTTTCATTGGTTGCCCATTTCTCTCCTCCCCTTTCCATGCCCTATATACTTGCTGGCTGCCTTCACAAAGTCTCTGTGTCTTGCCTAAATAGATAATATGGCCATCTTGATAGTTTTCTCCTAGAGGTTCTAATTGCAGGGTGGTACTTCTCTTTTTTAATATTTATTTTTAGTTTGACAAGTCCTAGTTCTGTGACTTGCCATGTCTTGTACTTGACAGTCTTAGAATGTCAGCCCATGGATCTCCCGCCGGTCTTCCTGGCCACCTTTCTTTTTGCTGCACCTCCTCTTCTTGTCCACAAGCAGAGTAGATACGGGAGATCCTGGCAAGCAGGATGATTTTATTATTGTAATTAGGCACCATCCACAACAGTGGTGATAAATACACAGCGCCCTGGTTATTCCCCTCAGGAAGTAAAGCTTTCTACCTGGGGTGGAGCCAAGGAGATATTAGGAAAACAAGTTCACTGTAATTGGTCCAGAATGATTGAGACCAAACAGAGAGTTTGAGTCAGTTTGCTTTCTCAAGCACGTGTATCCGGTCTACTGGTATTTGGGCAGGCGGGCAAGTAAAGTGGGTTATATAGAATCTGAACCGGGTTTACCAGCAGTAGTTCAAATGAATTGCCAGCACTTTTATAACAGACAGGAGGTCTGATTTCTTCCTCATCATTAGACAGGTGTGGGGAGAACCAGTTACCTAAGAAGAGTGTTGATTCTTTGTTCCTTCCGGCACACCTCAGTCCAAAGAGCCGAGGTGATCCAACCTGGGAAAATGATCATCCCCAAACTGGAAAAATTCTCAGAACATTAGGATTTCAGAGGATGACAGCTCAGATCAGTGTGGGGATTCTCTACTCCATCCCACCTCCAGCCACCAAGTAGATAAAAGGTCTGCTAGGTGCAGTATAAAAAAAGTATACTATCAGTTTTCATACAGAGAATACCAGCTTCTATGGAAGTTTAGGGGCAGAGAAGCATATTAAGAGTAGATTGGATACTACTGTGCAAGAACTGTGGATAATTTTATAGAAAGTAGGTTAACTGATTTTCCAGCACTTTCTAGTTATACTGGAATATAGTGAACCCTTCCAAAAAAAAGGAAGAAAAGAAGAAATCACTCCACCGTATTTTTAAAGAGCAAATTGAAAGTACAGCATTGGCTTATATACTATAGCTTTCCTTCTTCAGGACTTTTCTGCCCAACTCTCAACTCAGGCGTCACTGAAGTGGCTGAAGGGAGGGAGTGTGCCTGTCATTTCTTGCAGTGAATCCGGCAAGGGTCATAAGCCCCAGAGATGAAGGCATGGGAAAGATCACTGGTTCATTTTTTACCATCAACTTATTAGCGTTCAGGGAGTGACTTCAGCTCAAATATTACAAATATGCTCTAATTATACTCAATGAGCTATATATCATTACAGATCGCTGATAGCCCTTTGTGGGACATTTTATACAATTCAGACTACATATTTTTAGCAATGTGGAGATTTAAAAGTAAAAATATAAGAGATATTGTATATACCCTCAGGCATATTTTGTTTTAAATATTATCCTTGGCCCGGTATACTGTATAAATACAGTAAATATGAATAGAACTGGCCAGGTGCCAATCTCCTAGGATGAATTTTAGTCAAGAAGGTATTTATGGGATATAAATAATACTGTGTCAACATTTAAAGAAAGGGTCTGATTAGTTTTGAATTTATTCATATTGATCTTTTCACATGCTGTTAGTTTAAGGCTCAAAGTGGAGTTATGCTAAGGTTTACCGATAGTTTACCCAGTGGGAATTCGTGGACTCCCCAGTCCTTTTGACAAGCCATCTGCAGTTCAAGCCATATCTGTTGGAAAGACACTGCACAAAGCTTTAGAAATCTCGAGAGTGATTCCGTTCACTAGACTGAGAATCCAGATGATTGACAGTTAAAATCTGTAGAGGCTTGGGCAGTCAAAAAAAGAAAGAGACAGTAAGTTTCATTTTCTATCTTTCCTCTCACTTGTTTTAATTGTAACAAACCAGGCAGTGTTGGGGTTCTAAAAGGTGGTGATTTTGCCCTGGCCCCCACCTCCCAGGGAACCTGGGGTGAAGTCTGGAGTTTTGGCTGTCATGACCCTTAGGGAAGGCATGCCACGAGCATATCATGGGTAGAGGCCAGGGACGGTCGCTAACCATCCTCTAATGTACAGGACAGGTTCCCTCCACCCACCACCACCAGCACATACATCAAAGAATCGCCAGTAATGCGCATGTTGAGAAGCCCTCGTAACCCTGCTATTGATTTTGGGTTACCGAATTTTGCAAGGAGTCCCATTTTAAAAGTAATAACCCTAAAAATCAAATATCTGTATGATCAAAAGGAGATTAAAATGAGAGCATTGAATGGAAAGATAATCAGAAAATTATCGTCATGAGATGGGAGCTTGAACTGGACCATTTTGTGTGGTGGATACTTTATTATTATGATCCTAAAGCACCTAAATTGGAGACCTCAAAACTTCCCATTCATTTAGCCTAAATAATGATGTTGCCCCACCCATCAGTAATTTCAGTAAGCAGCAATGTGATGTTAGTCAGAACAGAGAAAAAAGAAATGAGGAATTGTCGTGGATTTTCCTTGCAAGGAGAATAAGCAGTTCATGTTAATGAGGAGTGGGATCTCCAGCCTAGACAACCAAAGAAAGTAAATAATTGTGTTGGTTTATTCTATCATATTGAGTTAGATAAACCAAAATATACAGCCTGAGACATCACAATGAAGTTTCCTTTGTAATTGTTTCACACGAATGTTAAATCTTTAATAGCAAACAATCTCCTTTTCTATTTCCCCTGTAATTTTCCAAGTGAAATCGTGGAATGTAGAATGAATACTAATAGCACTACGGTTTTGGGGAATTCGACTTAAGATTCTATTCATGGACATGTCCTTCTGTATACAGATTGCTGGACTATTGGCCAGTTGCCCAATGAAGGAAAATATTAGCAGTTGCTGGAACATAGTAGTATTTTTGCTTTATATCCAGGGATTTTATTTTTTAAGATTCTCTGTGTGAGGATGTCTGAGAAAGAAAAAGAGAAAGATCAGAGACAATCGGATTTGACCCCTTGACTTCTAGAATGATTGAGTTATTAATACACAACAGACCAAACTTCAATTTCTGCATTTTTATTGTGTCATTGCTTGTACTAACCCTAGTGCCTAACTGTGGTTCCAGTAAACTTGGGTCACATTCTTCTTTCAGGATTTCCTCTCCTTTCCTTCTTTTACTTTTCAAAGACTAGGAGAAGTAAATACTGTTTGTAACTGAAGCAGTTGGGCAGGCTTTGTTGCCAAGTGAGAACAGCCCGCCGCGAGCCTCCCCTGAGGAGTCCCCGTCCCGTGGAGGCTGGGCTTTGCAGAGGGGCAGGTGGGGACCCCTTGACCTGGCAGAGGGACCTGGCACCCTCTGTGTCTCCACAGCGACCCCTGGGGTCCACTTACGGAGCTGCACTTTGTAAATTCCGACTTTCCCCTGGTGAGAACACGCTGATGTAACCTAGTCGCAGCATCTTTCATATAAAGATATGAAAGAATGACAGATCATTTTTCCTAGAGGAAACGGAGACGCGAAAAAAAAGGCTAATGACTCACTGTTGATTCCACATCAAATCTGGGTTAGCACTGAGGAGGTCACTGACTCTTAGGCCTTCGCCCAGAGATTACAACACACTCCAGGCTGCATTTTTAGAAGGTTAGGGACACCGAGTGGAGAAGCCCGGCCCTGAGAGA